GGAAGAATTAGTCCTCCTTTGTTGTTCCTCTTGAACAATCAGAGAGAAAACACGATTAATGGAAGACATTGGATCCATGAGAAGCAACTGACCACGAACTTGAGAGAAAGAATTATCAAGTCCCATTAAGAAGGACATTATGTACTCCATTTGATGATGATTGTTAAGATTTTTAACTTCACCACAAGAACACTTTCCACAAGAACAATTAGGCCGGTAATTACTCAGTTCTTCCCATATAGTTTTCAGCTATGTGAAGTAAATGCCAACAGAACTCTGTTCTTGACGCAAATTCATTAATTCACGTTTAAGTTGAAAAATTCTAGGTCTGTTCCTCTGCTAAAAACAATCCCTAAGATCTAGCCAAATCTCACGTGCAGAAGCAACAAAAATAGTATTGGCAGAAATTTCCCTTGAAACCGAATTCAAGATCCAAGATATAACAATATTATTATTACGAATCCAGGAGTTGAACAGATTATCATCAGTACCTTGTGGCTCACGAATGGAACCATCAACAAATCCCAATTTGTTCTTCATAGATAGGGCAATTAACATCGCACGACTCCAATTGGTATAATTCTCACCAGTGAGCAACTACGAGACGAGCACTTGCCTAGAACTATCAGAATAATGAAGATAGTAAGGATTTGAAGGTTCTTCAATGGCAGAATGATTCGAATTGGTACGATCTCCAGAATTGGAATCACTCATCAAGGGAAGAGTTGTCATATCGAAGAGAACAAGAACAATCAACGAAGGAAGAAGAAAACAAGCAAATTTGCAGCGGATCAAATTTGCTCTGATACCATATTAAGCTCGAGAAAAAGAAGAAACAAGAAGAAAAGAGAAGAAGGAAATGATTTTCATTTATTCATCGAACTATTACAAAAGAGGAGAAAACTAATATAAATAGCAAGGAAGAAAAATTACAATCTGTTACTCTGTACAACCAATGAACAAATGACATCTATACAAGTCTAACAAACTCTAATCTACAAAATTACACCCTAATAGAGAGGAATATACACCAAAGATCTTAGTTTCCTTGGAGAGTCATTGCCACTTTCAACAAAAAAAGATAATTTATTAGTCTATAATAAAGGTCTCATAAAAATGTATTTTTATACAAACTATAACTTACTTCAACAACTTGTTGTCTCCCAAGTCCCAACCTCATGTAAGTGAACATGAGGTTCAAGCCCCTTTCCCTTCCCCAAAAAATAAAAAATTAAGTGAACATCTAGGCATCCCTAGTAAGTAACCAGTACAGTTGAGACAAATTCTGCTTTTACCTCTAATTGTTCAGATTGCATCCTCATGCAATAGAATTTGTTTCACGACTATACCAGTGAAGCCGCGCGACGCCTATTAGAACCAACCCAACAAATCTTCGACCATTTGACTGGCAGCAAGCAAGCAGTTGTCAATTTACTTATCTCAATCGACCCTTGCCATTCTTTTCCTTGAAGCCGCTACACCTGACCACACCCTTTTCCCTTGATCCGTTTCATCATCTCAGTAAATGGCTTCATGGAAAATGAGAATTAAGAAGTGGTAAGACAAATGGACTGTGAAACCTTAATCAGTTGTCGGTTGTAGAAAACAAAACTGAAAAGCATTAATTTTAATGGATATAAGAATGACATATTTGTTTTTCTGTAGGGTCAAAGGGGAAAGAAAATATTTTTCAGCTATGTTGGTATTTTAAAGTAGTATAGATAAACACAAATTGTTAGACATGTATATTATACACATAGATTGTTAATGTACATTATTATTTATAAATATAGATCGTTATATAGATACACTAAAATACAGATCGTTAATGTACCTTTTTTTTTATAAATACAGATCATTAAACATGTACACTAAAATACAGATCGTCAGATAGGTACACTAAAATACATATCGATAATGCACCTTATTCTACATAAACACAGATCATTAGACAGGTACACTAAAACACAGATCGTCAGACATCATCATAATGTCCAAATTACTTGATTCATAAGTTTGAATTTCAAAACTGATATACAACAACGTAAAAACCTCAATAATAAATGCACATAAAAGTTAACTATATTTTACATTAAAATCATGTAATGAGGGCAAAATGGATAATAAAAACCAATAACTAACTAATTTCTTAACATTCGCGCTAACACAAGGACAACATGAAAGTATTTTCAAAAATCGAAGGATTTTTTTTTTTATGCTAAAACTTCAGTAGGACTAAAATTGATTTACACACCAAAAGAGAGACCCTAACCTAATTAGCTATAAAAAAAAATTAAGGGTGGGCATGTACCCCTTAGTCCTTGTGTGGCTCCGTCTTTGTGTCCAAATCATACAAAAAAATATCATAAAAGTTAAATTTTTTAGATCAATTATTTGAAGAAATTTATATATCATAAAATATTGTGTTCAACCATGAATTATTTTAATTAATTGTACTTTTTACTTTATAAATTAAAACTAAATCTTTAAAAAATTATAAAATCAATCATAATATTTTGAAATTAATTATATCTTTTACATTATAACTCACACTTTTTTTATCAAACACTATAACATACACTCAAGAAATTATAATTTGACCATTTTCCCAAAAGGATGGGGCTATTCCCATCTCATTTAATTTCTTAATATCCATTCCCATAAATGCTCCAAAATGGAAGAAAACAAAAAGTCACAAGTTCATTATGAAGTTAAAAAATAAAAATGATGCAAGTCAACCATATTTAGTTTTAGAACTTTGATCAAACCTCTTAGCTATCGCTCTAATTCCATAAGCTGCTATCAAGTAAAAAAAGAGTCTCTACATAAAATTATAGACAATAAATATAAATTAATAGTGACTCAATATTTATGAAAACATGAAATTTTTGTGATTTAAAAAAAGAAGAAAAATATTTACTTTGTTTTTAGGCTACGTCATTAGGAATATTTACAATTGCAATTTCTTGATTGTTTCCTAACAAAGTATTGAATCTTTCTACCTGCAACAAAAGGGAATTAAGCCTTTGTGAATTGGATTAATGTCGGATTTGCCCAAGGGAAATCTTTCACTATCTCAGTTACTGATTCATTGCAATGATGCACACCATAACCGTACTCATGAATTATTTTAAACAATTGTTGCGTGTGTGTACACCCTGCCGTTTCAATTATTCTCAATTTCAATCTGGCATTGTAAATGATTTTTAGTGTTGAAACATTACTTGTATCCTTCTTCTTTAGGTGGCATAATTTGTCACATGGACAAATATCGTTCTTTGACATTTCCTTCAAAATTTCAAGTTCATCATTGATGATACTATAATCAGTAAATCAATCCTGACTTATCATAGTTCAATCTCGAACAACACGACTTCAAAGGTTAAGGATGGGATGACCAACAAGAAGTGAAATCTTATCCCCAACATGTAGGAAGGTCGGCATCATTTGCTGCAGCTTGGGTGTAAATAACATCTGAGCTAACCTCCTCCCCTTTGAACAAGCTCTACCAACAGAGAAAGTTGGACAAACCACTAAGCACCATCTTAACAACTCATCCAATGATTTCAGGAGATCAACCCTCTTGAGTGACATCACATTGTTTTTATAAGGCCACGTCACGTCACACATAGAGAATGTAGCATCTAACAGTCCTAATATTCTTTCAACAAAATCCTAGTAAACTTGGGGACCATGACGATGATAGAAGTAACCGTCCCACCTGTGGGTATAAAACACCAAGGCTTTCTTCATGTACAGGTATAGAATACTTTGTAACCTATCTTTTTCTCTATGTAAGAGACAATCACATAAGGAGTAAGAGACTCCATTAGAGTGGATTACTCAAGTTTTTTAGATGATGAACTACTATAATCTATATGCCCTTTCTATTACTTAGTACTCACTTTCATACTTATATTATTGCACATAAGCCTTAAGCCGTTCAGTTGAAGCATCATTATCACACTTTGAGTTCGTTCATCGTCAATCATGCACTAATCTACCAATGTATGAGTGATCCACCAATTTTTTTTATTAACCGGTAGTTATGAATCTCATTAATCACTTATAACCCCTTACTTTACATCTCTATGACTTAATTGTGATGTTTTGAATTTAAATGTACTCAAAAGAAAACAAGAAAAAAAATAAAAAAAAGGACCAAATCTAGAAAAAACTAAAAGAAGTCATCCCAAAAACAAAAACGAAACAAGACAAACAAAGGCTACAGCTTCTGCCATTTTTAAACCAATAAAATAAACCTAATAGCTACTGCCACTTAACGCAATCAAGTAAAAGCAAACAAAAAGTACGACACGGAGTTCAATTAAAGGTTTTGATCAAAAAAAAAACTAAAGGCAACACCAAAGGTAAAACAACAGTCTACATGACTCCAAAAAAACGTGAAAAACCAAAATATATAAAAAAATTGATTATATTCATCTATATTTATGAAATTAAATATAGAATTTTATTAAAAAAAATATTTTAATAAGTATATGAGATGAGATAATAAATGAAACCGTTAAACTTATTTTTTTAAAAAGTCTGTATAATATAAAATAAGTTTAATTACTAATGAAATGAGTTTATAAACAATAAGCTTAATAATTTGATAATAATAAATTAAATGAGATGAAAATAAATATTTATGGGACGTAAATAACGAGTAAATATTGATTGTAACAGTAATATCATGTCACCATTGATGACATCGTACCACTAACTAATAATAAAATTTTAAGTGGGTAAAGTGGCTTACATAAAAAAGAGTGAAGAGTTATTTAATTACAACATTAATTATATTTACTTATTTATTTTAATATTATTAAATAATAATATCATATTACCTTACAATGTAATACCACTATTATAATAATATTTTCTCGTCAATAATCCTGTACTAATCAAGATTTTTTAACAAGTTTTCCACCGCAAATGACATTAACGCTTTACCAAAAGCGACGCGTTATTAGTCTTCGTCAGTCTACGCTAAGCTGGGACGGAAGAAACAGAGTTGAAACAGAGTAGATTGCAGTGAAGGGAGTAGGGGAGAGAGAGAGAGAGAGAGAGAGAATGGCTCCAACAGTGGATGCCTCTGCAGCGTCAAAACAAGCGGAACAGCTGAGGCAAAACGGCAACCATTACTTCCAAAAAAATCGGTTTGGTGCTGCCATCGATGCTTATACTGGGGTCTGCATATACGTATCTCCTCTTTTATTTATAAAAATCTCCATATTCATATGTACATATGTAGATCTTTCTGGTTTTTGGTAATTATTTTCCTCAATTACATGTAGTTCTCCACTAGATCATACTAAATTAAGAATTTTGATTTATTGATCTTGATTTATACCTAATTTTACTCTGTGTTCTTGTTTTCAGGCTATTGTTTTGTGCCCTGGTGTTCCCATATATTGGACTAATCGTGCTTTATGCCATAGCAAGCGGAAGTACGTACGAGCACAAACCCTTTAATATTTTTGTAACTGTTTGATATTGTTTTTTTTTTCTTTCTTCAATTATGATTTGGTACTTATCAGCGGTCCTGTTTGGTAGTGATTGGGAAAAAGTGGAGGAAGATTGTCGGAGAGCTGTTGAGCTTGATCACAATTCAGTCAAGGTAAGGATTGCTCCATACTCAGCGTTCCTCCCCTTGATCTTCTTGTTAATTTTTTCGCTCGTTGATTATAGGTGTTAAAAATGAAATTGGAGGGCCTAGTTTCAGAAGTTGAGGAATGGAGGAACTTCTTCCCGTTCTTTTACACCTTTTTTACTCAATCCCTGTTGGAGTAGGTGGAATGTATATTTGAATTTGTGAAGAGTCAAAACTACTAGGCAAGCCATCACCTGTTTTTCATTTGAAAAGTGAAAACTGATAGAACATTAGTGGGTTTGGCTTATGTGCAATTGCTTCTGGGTTGTTGATGTTATCAAGAACAAAATTCATAGGGTGATTGATTGTGCCACGGACTATTGATAGAACTTATGTCAAAAAATTGTGAAAAGCCCAAATTGCTGTTAACTCCTAAAACTTAAAAAAAAAAAACCCTTATATAATACCTGAAATATATTAGTGCAAATTATGGCTACACATGCTTCAAAGTGTAAGCATGGCTTGGCTTACAAGATGGTGTGAAGGTTAATTTCTAATCTGATATAAGTGAAGTGAGGTGCTCGGGTGTGTAATAATGACCTAAAGACATGTATTTCTGGATGACAGGCTCACTACATGCTAGGGCGGGCTTTGCTACAGAGGGAAGAATATGCTGATGGAATCAAGGCATTGAAAAAAGTATGGAGTTGTTTTTTTCTTGGCTTGTTTTAGATAATTTTGTCAGTTTCGTGGAAATGATGTGTTTTCATCCGTATGAACAAACAGAGGCGCATAGATGCACTATATCTCTATGGTGTGGATGTAAATATTAAATTTGGCAGTAAGAATGGAGCCATTGGATTTTTGAAACTTAAAATCAATCAATTTCAGAAGCTTTTAAAATTTGAGGTGGTTTGGAGTTTGTATATATTGAACATAACACAGCCTCTTTTATTTAACATTGTTCATTTATCTTTCCATTATTTACTTTATGAGGAATATTATTCTCAGTGTCTATTCCTCCTCACTGTCATGATCATGATCACTATCATCAGTATTGCCTATAATCATATTTCGCACACTCTTATAAGATAAGTTGCTTCCTGACTTCTCATGGAGATAGACATTGTATTGAAGATTTGAAGGATGGACAAAGGAAGTTCAAAACTGAATATTGAGCCATGTTTCACCATCAGATGCTAAATAAGAAGGCTACTTTGAACATGATATTTTTTTCGTTCGACAAAAAAAAAAAAACGGAACATTTTGGAAGTGACGTTGTTTTGGCGATATCTGCACGATATACTTTCTGAGCATTATGACTATCTGAAATTTGATTTGTCCTAAAATTTAGGCATTGGATCTTGGTGGGGGTGCAAACCCTATGAGCTACATGGTAGAGGAGATATGGCAGGAGCTTGCTAAAGCAAAATATTTGGAGTGGGAGCATGAGTCTACTGAGCGTTCTTGGGAACTGCAAAATTTGAAGTATGTGCTTCTTCCTCGTTGAGTTTGGACTTCTGATCAATGGATGTCAGGCAGTGCTTAAATTCTACTGACGCTTTCAATGTTCTATTAGTTTAATGTGTTTTTTTTGCTGTGGCGCGCTTCATTCTTTTTTCTAATCTGTGTCTCAGAGAAGCTTGTGAGATTGCTTTAAAAGAGAAACATTTATTTGATAAATTACATATGGAAGGGTTTTTAGATGAAGCTACCAACTCCAATTCAGACCAATTGGAGGCTCTGGGGCAGGTATTCAAGAAGGCTGCAGAAGCCGACTTACCAACAGATGTGAGCAAGTGCCTCATTTCTCTTAAATTTTCTTTCCCTCTCAATCAAGTGCATTGTGTTTCGTGTCACTCTGACTTTGGATTACAGGTACCTGACTATCTATGTTGTAAGATTGCGCTTGACATTTTGCGTGATCCTGTTATTACTCCAAGTGGGATTACATATGAGAGGGCAGTGATCGTTGACCATCTGGAGAAGGTAAACCGTGTTTTACTTTGCATAATCGAATTATTGTCACCATTTTCATTTATGTGTTAACCCTTGATTTAATACCAATTTAGGTGGGGGAGTTTGACCCAGTTACCCGTGAACCACTTTCTTTGTCCCAACTGGTACCCAATTTGGCCATAAAAGAGGCTGTACAAGCATTCTTGGGTAAGCATGGCTGGGCTTACAAGATGGATTGATAATTGGCTTATTACTGGGAGCTTAGAGAGAGTTAATATTGGTTCTTAACATGTCATGGATAAATGAGGGTGAGCGTAATGTTGTCTTTGAATTGCACCAAATCAATTCTCATTTTGGTGCATCATTGATCATAACTGGTATGTAATTTTGTGTTTCTTCAATGGTGTGTTGCTCTGCTTTTTATCATGTTTGAGGTCTCATCGGTCTTTCCCGAATTGTATAGTTCTAAAACTTTTGTACTTTGTACAGTTGAATAGCCTTAAGCTCATTTCTCGGGAGATCTTTTTGGTTTATCTTGTTTTGATTTGATGGTTTGCAATGTAATGTGACCTGGATTGTTCGGAGTCTCCAATACTCGATGAGCCCCAATTTGCAGCTACATCTGCCTTTTTTTTTTTTTTTTTTTTTTTCAGCAGTTGTAAAATCTTTTCTAGGAAAGTGCAGTCTGTGTATTATACGTAGAGCAGCTGATATTTCACCACTGTTGAAAAAGGTCCAGAGGTCTGATAATAAGGAGGTGAATAGCTGGCACCTGCGTCCGAGTCCCCATTCCCCCACTGGTGCTCAGTAGGGCATTACCTCGATGTACAGGTTGAAATGTTGAATCTCTTCATTAGGGAAAATTGGGTACCGTTAATTTCTCAATTTTTTGCCCATGAGAAATTTGTTCATTTCCTTTCTTGCAGCTTGCTGGGGGTGGATAACTGAAAGCAGCAGAGCAAGCAACGAGATATGTAGTACTGAAAATTGATTGGGATATGAATCCTTTTTTTGGTAAGTGTAATCTTTTACTCCATTCGTACAATGGGGAGGGTGGTATATATATAGCTAGATTGCAACAGACGGCAGGTATCAGTTAGTCAGTTTGTTGCTTTCCAGCGCCTTTTTTATTTCTATTGATTTATTTTTCTTACTACTTTTAGATTTGAAAATAGCTCAACATTTTGTAGAATTTTATCTTGGATTGAGATCCATTCTGTTATTATTTTCCTCTGTTTCTCTCAATAGAAGATCACTTGAATTTAAGTTGGACCCACTATTTATAAGCGGATCTGAATTCCTTTATCTTCTACTGGATATTGAATTTTTGTTAATTTGGAGGGGACCCGATATTCTCGATATTTTGGTAAATAAAAATTTGTAAAATATTTGGTATACATGATATCGTAACTGTTTTGCAAAACCTATTTGAGCAAGCAAACGCAGTGAAACAAGGAGGTATTATTTATCTAATTAATATGCACAACGTATTAAAGGACAAAAACATTTAGAAGCACTCCACCAGCAAAGCTTTAAGTTTGCTCAAACTTATAATAAAGGGACTCACGATTCTCTCACTGGTGAATGGTGAGATTTCCTCCGATAAATTTTTCTACATTTTTCTCAAAAGTGGATCATTTATCATGAATTCAAGGAGGACTCGTCAGTCCACCTTTATTCTTGACTTAAATTTGAGTTAACATGTGATTAAAAAATTTGATTTAATGCAAAACACTTTAATGGAGAAATTTAAATTTGGGTAAATTGTATCAATAGTCGTTGAGGTTTGTCATTTGTTGCACTTTTGTCTTTAAAGTTCTAAATTTGTCAATTTCGTCATCAATATTTATACATTGACTTATTTTTGTCCTTACCCTTAACCTCCGTCCAAAAAACTAAAGGAAAATGTCATGTGCTAAGCACATGAGGGTATCAAGGGACATTTTTGATATTTTACAACTATTTATACATCCAAACACAATTATCCTTAGACTCAAACACTCACCTTCTTCTTTCTTTCTCTTCTCTCTCCTCAAACAAGCATAAATCCTTCTGAGTTCTCGCTTCCTCACACATCTCTCTCTCTCTCTCTCTCTCTCTCTCTCTCTTTACTACATCTCCACTCCCAAAACTCAACACATCCCCTGCTCTCGTCTTTTGTTACTGTGTCTCCACCACCAAACCTAACTCTCTCGGCTCTCATTGTTGAGTCTCCACCCCTAAACCCAACACATCTTTCTCACTCGTCTTTCATCTCTTGTTATTGTGTCTCCTCCCCCCAACCCAACACATCTCCCTTTCTCGTCTTTCTTCTCTTGTTGTTGTGTCTACACCCCAAACCCAACACATCTCCCTCTGTACTCTCTCCTCTGTCGTTACTGTGTCTCCACTCTCAAACCTAACACAAAAACCACAAATACACATCCACAACACAAAACCAACAGTCACATACACCCACATGGATTCAAAACTGGATTTTCGAGACCTCCATGGGCAATCAAGCCTCAATTCTTTCTAAACCCACAATTTTTTCAAAATTAAGTTCGAATTCAAAATCGAAATTGAAACCAAAAATGAAATAAAAATCAAAGAGATATTTAGGGGTGGAGTGATTGACAATGGGTTAGGGGTAAAATAGTGAAAACTCTTAGGGGAGGGGGGAGCCTGCTCAAGTGGGTTGATGGAGATGGTGTCAGGTGTATGGGTTTTGCAATGGTTGTTTAGGTTAGGGTGTGTACTGTATTTGTGTGTGAGGCGTTGAGAATGTAAGAGGGCAAAAAAAGAGAAGAAAAAAGAGAGAGAAGAGATGGATTCCAACAGTGGAGATCGATTCCTGCGATTGTGGGTGGTGGCGGTCGATTCCAGCCGTGGTGGATGGTGGTGGTCGATTCTAGCGGTGGAACCTTGCACAAAGAAAGAGAGAGAGAGAGAGAGAGAGAGAGAGAGAGAGAGAGAGAGATGGGGTGGTCACTAGTAGACAAGAGAGAGATGGAGTAGGAGAGAGAGAGGGCAATATTTTTTTCCCTTTTTGTGAGATTATTTTATTTTCTCATTTATGCCCAATGTTTTGAGAATATAATGACAAAAATATCCCTTAATATCCTCATGGGCTTGACACATGACATTTTTCGTTAGTTTTTTGGACGAAGTTAAGGATAAAGACTAAAGTAAGTTAATGTATAAACATTGAGGAAGAAATTAGAAGTTTAAAGACGAAAGTGCAACAAGTGACAAACTTCAGAGATCATTGCTGCAATTTATCCTTTAAATTTAAAAGAGAATAAATTTAAATTTAAATGATGATAAACTTAATAAAAGAGGGTGAAATATGATAGTTGGATCTTTAAAAAATAATGAAATTTGATAATTGAATATTTGAGTCTCCCTTGATTTGAATTTTTTTTTTTTTTTTTGGATATAAGTTTGAGTAAAGGACTAGAAATTGTTTTTAGTTTGTTTTTATTCAATTTTAAGATGGGTAATGGTCGAAGATGCTTTTATATATAAATTGATTATGCAAAAAAACTGGATGTATAAGTGAAGGAAAGGCTAAAAAGCTCTTCTATATGTGGAATGGTCAAATATTTATGCATGTATGTATGTAGAATGATTATAGTAAAGACACGAAGAAATAAGTGGTTCACAACACAGTTGAAAAGTTGGGTTAGTCTATTTTAATGGAGTCTCTTATTTTATGAGTTGTATTGTTTTTAGGAGAAAGAAGAAGAAAAAGAAGAGATGATTATTTGCCTTAGTGAATACAATTGCTCTTCCCTTTCTTGGAGGACAAGAGTTTGCTTATATACTCCTACTCTAAAATGGTCCCTCGTCATAATGGGGTGGTCTTCTGTTTGTTAGGATTGATGGCTATTTTTCGGATGAGGTGCAATCGGGTAATTCTCCCTTTTGTCCTCCCTCAAGCTCGATGGGCTGCCTCGAGTGCATTATGAGTCATTGTCCTTAGTGGGCCAATCTGCTCATGTCCAAAAACGAGCCCTTTCTGATGGCTGGGTTGAGCTCTCCCTTGGGTCATTTTCCCTTGGGCTATCCCAATTCTAACAGCTGTATCATAAAGGGATAACGTGATTGGTGGTATGAAATTTACAACTGATTGAATCGTCTTTAATACAAAAAGGGTTGGGTGACAATGATTAGTAATCCAACAATGCCGGGTCAGCCATGGTATTTCTTTGAATTCAATCTTTTATGGTCTCTCTGGTCCAAGGAGTCTTTTGTTGCTTCAATCAATGCATGACAGAAAGAGATATCACCAAGTTGTTCTTCACTTATCTCCAGAAGCTTTGAATGTCTCAAAGGCATGTATCTATCTTCTAGTGAATATATCATGAATTTGATCAGAAGGGGACTAGGTGAAATGAATCTGTGACCAATGTGCAATTATAATATTTTCATCTTACTATCTTCTAGTAATTTTCCAATTATATGTTTTTCTTCTTTTTATTTTATTTTATTACAGTTAGTGATACTTAAGTCAGTTTACGCGCATCTCGATTTATCCTGAATTAATGAGAGATAAATTTGTTATGGTCTGATCTCAAGGGAATTACCAAGTTTCGAACATAAAACATTTGAATTTATAATTCGTCCTTATCTCCACTGGATTATTCCTTGAAATTGTCCGTTTTCTCTTTAGAAATAGAAAATTCTTGCTATTTATCAAATTTTTGTAGCAATTGAAAAGTACTTTTTTTTTTCTTGTTGAAGATTTGTAGCCTATAAATCATCCATCGGAATAGTTTGCTCGCGGTCTATTGATTGAAAACATCGTCGATAAAAACGTGTGTGTACACGATTTTGTGGTGAGAAGTTTTGGAAGATCGATGAACAAAATCTGCCGCAATACAAGTATTAAATGAAGTAGATGGACCTCAGTTATTTCACAAGGTGGTAATGGATTTCAGGACTAGCAGGAATTGATTGTTTGACCAGAGCCCATGTTTGCCAGTGAATTGCATGGTTCCCAGGTAATTAGAAATGGTGAAAACTATTGCACCGTGAGGTGCGTCTAAGATGGTTCGAACATTCTGTTGAACTAAAAAAGAAGTGTTGCACCATTGTTGAGCTTTAATGTTCTTTCTTAAATGTTGATGCATTGAATGTTCGAATCCCAGAGCATTTAATACTTTTACTTCTTGGCTTATCAAGTCATGCTAGATGTATTGTCAACTGACAATATATTAAATGCTTGTCTCTATTAGCCGCATATCAGCAAGGGTAGTCCCGTTTTTTTACCCTTTACTCTGTATCTCACGCCACGTGTCTGATTCCCTCTGGTTGAGTGTCTAATTCAATCTATCACTCTGATTACATCATGTAGAGTGTCTTCACAGTTCCTAGTCTAGATTAGTCTGCTTAGCTATTAGTCACTAGTCTTCTCAGAAGTCGAGGATTCATGGCGAGGTTGAAAAGAGTACCCTCGGGCCGAGGGGACGCACCTTGGTGCCGAGGCATATGTATTGGAGTCGAGAGGCATACGAGCTCAAAAAAGAATAACCTCGGGGCTGAGGGGGACACGTCTTGAGACGTTTATTGGAGCCAAGTTTTAAGCAGGGGGGTCTTCGGGGCCGAGGACACGTGGCCTCACCAGAGTTAAAAAAAATACTTCGGCGCCGAGGACACGTATCGCTAATCTAAGACCTTTCTAGAAATGTCCAATCAGGAGGATATAATATGACTACATCATCATTGTCATATAATATGATCGTCTAATAATAGACTTATCACTAGACAAAGTTACACGAAGTAGTTATTATTTTAACACGTGACGTGAACTCTTTTTTTTCTAAACATGTCGATGTTGAATAATTTTTTAGACTTGTTTACAAAAATAAGCTCGATAAACTCAGGCTCAAACTCGCAAAACTTGACTCGATTAATACCTCTAAATGGAGGAGTGAGATTTCTTGTAATATATATATTTTTTAATTTTTTTTTGTGAATCACCCACTAGTAAGGGTGTTTATAATAATGTTTTGTAAGTTCGAGTTGAATTTTTTAGACTCATTTTTTTAAATAAGTTTAAAAAATTGTTGTAACTCAACTCGTTTAAAATACGAATTGGATTTCAATTAAGTTTTATTCAAATCAAATCTGAATAGAATCCAAGTAACTCATCTTTCGACCAACACCTCTACCTCGGTTACATAGTTCAATAATTCGGGTATATATTCTTTTTTACGTGAACCCGACCAAACC